GTAAAAATGTAAAATATATATTACATATTTTTTGTACATATGAAAACGTTTTCATATGTACAAACGTCTTTTCAGTATCATGGTAGATATTAAATTATGCATATAGTGTCCGCTTTCAATAAAGACTTATGAGACATATATAATTATTATCGCTTTTTCGCGATGCTAATTGGTTCTCTCGCTGTGTTTATTTTATGCTGCAAAAATAACTATCCAGTGCAGAATCATATTTCGATAGTTCATGAACATTAAGTAATTGTTATTATATGATTAATTTGTATGTATACTTATTTTTTGTAGAAAATAAAAATCTAATAATAAGTAGAGCACATAGCACACATTTTTGATGTTTAATACCTGAGAAAGACTAGTTGTAGAGGGGCTAGTTGCCATACGGGATTAATTGTCGTGCTTATAACTCAGTATATAGCAGCAAAATCTCTTTTTTTACTAGATTACTGATATAATATTAATTTATTGTATAAAATGCTTTGCATCAAAAAAGCATTGTGTACATCATTTACAATGACTTTTAAGAAAATGAAATTGATGAATACATTTTTCTTATCTTCTATTTTGTTGTCTGATAAATTTTTGGCATTATCAATTACAATTTTCCTGTAATCGTCGAAAATGGCATGTTTTAGAATATTTTTGCCGCGGTTAATTAATCATTATTCTGACAAAAATACAATCTCTCTTTACTAAAAACATGTGAGATAGATTAGCCAAAATGAATTTGGATTAAATGATACTCAATTATGATCTTTTTAGAGAGAGAAGATCAACACGTTTTTTAGAAAATATGTTTACAAATATAATACTTTATATAGACATATATGTTTTTTCATTTTTCATATAGGAATTATAATACAAAAACAAATTACACGTATTATGATAACTATTTTACTTTTACTATAATTACTATTATTTCTTAATATATAAAAACTAACATTAACATTAAAATTATATATTTTGTATGTCGTAAAAAATATATATGTTACTATCAAATCTGAAATATGTGATAATTAATCTTAAGTATGGGACTTGTTACATTTTCTCTTTATTTAAAATTAAATAAATTATTTGTATGATGATGTATTCAAGAATAATATTTTTTTTAATACTTAAGGGATGTAGGTACATAGATGTTTTTAATACTTAAGAGATGTAGGTGTCTCAAAATCTTATATTTACTTTTTTCTAAAAATTATTCAAAAATCTTAATCTCTCTTATATAAAAATATTCTTAAAAGTTATAATAAATAATTTATTTATGTTACAATTCAAATTATCATCTACATATCTTTTTAAAAAGTATCTTTACTGAAAGTTATTAAATAAAGATTTTGAAAAATTGTTGGAATAAGTTTACATGAAATTGAAAATTTGAACATTTACGGAATAATAATATTACGAAATAAAAATTTACGGAATAATAATATGTATGTGTACATATTCTTTATTCTGTTTTTAAATTGAAAGTATTTATTATTTAAATAGACAGAAATTTATGCATTAAGTCGCTCCTCACGTTTCTTTTTTGTTGCACGAATGATTATTATAATAAAAAAAATCGGAAAATTAAAAATAATTTCCGACATTTGGAAACATTGCATTTTGTTATCTTGTTTCAATCCGCTCTAGCTTATAAATCTTTACAAAGAAGAACGAATTTTCGTAATTGCGATCCGAATCTTTTTATGAGAACAAAAAAGACGGAAGCAGCAAGCAGAAGTACTTTTTGCTTCGTGAATTATATTTTGATTCATTTCATCGTTTATTAAGTGATAATTTCTTGCATTATCTTTATGGTTGCATTATCTTATGGTTTGGTATATGATACGTAATACGTATTACTAACTAAATACTATTAATATTGAATTATGTTAATAATATTATTAATAATTACTCTATTAATACTAAATTATAATATTATATTATACGTTTACAGCAAGTTATAAAAAGTTATTTTAAATTTGAATGTGTATGACAATAAAAAATTTTTTTATATAAGATTATTTTAATAATATACACAGATAAAAAATATTCTCTTTAATAATTTCGATTTAAAAAAAATTAATAACAAAAATACTAGTTATGGACTCTCGAAATTAAAATAATATAAGAATTCAGGCAAATGCAGTCAAGTTATATTTGATAAAACGTTCAAATGTAAAGCAAGTCAAATATAACTTATTTATACATTTAATCAAT